GTCCCTCCTCCAGCAGGCGCCAGAACAAACCAGTTCGGAGCAGTACTACTACTACTACTACCACTACACCGGCACAAAACTACCCCGGGACCACTCCAGAGCCTCCCACTACACCTGACCCAGGAAGCGGTACGTTCACATCCAGGTTCTGGCTGTCTTCCCGTTTAGTCAAGGACAAGGGCGACCTTGGTCCCTTCTCGCCTCACGTAACTACATCCTGCATAGACCATAGCGCACCTTCATATAATGCAATATGAAAAAGTGACGTTGTGAAGACGTATGGGGTAGATGGGGGTGAGTGATCAGGATCATGCCCCAGTCGCTTCGCCCCCGAAGGATGTGTGGGCCCCAGAGCCGGTCTGCAAACGGAGGCTAAGTGAAAAATATTTTGCCCCTGTCGGAAATCGATGGTACCTAGAATTTCCCATTAAAGTTTATAATAATCTAGTTACTCTGAGTCACAATGTAAGTGTATTATGTGAATGAACCAGCTGATCATCTCCTGTTTTAATTGTAATTCTATGTAATTACAGTTTTGTACCGTGACGAAACATAGAACATGTGCAGTTCTTACCCCTCCTTCAGAAACTGATACCCCTAAAGTAGTAAACAAATTCTCCACCTTTTATGCAATTCGGAGCTTCAGTACCTTTTTAACAAGAAAGTGTCTACTGAAAACGAACCTGGATCAGTTTAATTTATGTACACCCCTCCTTCTGAACTGTTTCACTAACATCTATTTTAATATCTTCGTTCTGTTTCCCAAATCGTATTTTCCTTTCGGGTTTTCTGACTAAAATTCTGCGTGAATTTCTCAAGTTCTTCCATACTGCATGCCCCGAACATCCCATCCTCTTTGATTTGAACACAAGATTACACATTGCCAAGTTCCTAACTATCTTATTTACTCGATTCTCTCATTAACACCTCTCTTTAAGTCCAATATTCTTTTGAGAACCCTTTTTTCAAACACAAACAATACATTTGCAAGCTTCACAGTCAAAAAGTGTATCGATTAATGTCACAGCCGTCTATATTTATTCGGATTTTTATAGGAAACAAAATGTCCTCAACTGGAACAGTACAATCATTACCTGAATTTAATCTCCTCTGTCAATGTCATATAATTACTGTTTTAAAGATTTAAATATTATTTACAGATATCACGAATTTTTTTCTATCATTCTCCTGTTGATAGTCCAACTCCTACATAATTTTCCAAACTAAATGCCTTTTTAGCGTCTAATAAATTTCTACTTTTTACAGTATTAATGTGTCACATCAGTTCTGGTACCTCGCGATTTTTTCAGATCTTCATAATGATCTATTTTATAGTAAATTCCAACTAGTACACTTGACGCTGTGAATTTCATTCTCGTTTCTATTTTTCCCAGAAGACATAAATCTTCATACTCACTCCCGTGATAACCTCAGATCCTCTCAAAATCCATTATGGAGCTATTCACTCGTGATAACACAAGAAAGTTAATCTGACACCATATTTGAATCTGCTACTTTCCCTATCACCATTACCAATCACCACATTAATATTATTAAAATCTTATTGTACTATTGGAGTTGCCATGGATCTGAGCATGTCCAGATGTGCTTAATGACAGCCTAACAATGGGAACTATATCACTGATATTACAACCACTTCAGTACTTCAAGCTGAACGACAGAACAGATTTAACTGAAACCTATTCTTAAACATAATACGCACAGTGGTCTTACTTCGTAAAAAAAAAAAAATTTACTACGTCGATAAAACTGATAATGTGACCGTTTACATATCAATCTTTAGCAAGTTCTCAGCCAAAATTTGTAAAAAAACAACAACTTCCAATTGACTCCGCCATGTAATTGTTCGTCACCCTGCCCGAACGTATCAACTCGAGAGCACCTGACTGCTTCTGGGTACATGCTTAAGACGCCCGAAGACCACAAATATTCTACCTCGACCTCCATTAGCGTTCTCTTACGAAATCCGAAACTAAGAGTTAAGCCGATGGAGAAAGTCTTGTGCAAGCCGGAACCATCTTTCGACCTTGATATTTTCTGTCCACTGGTGTATTGACAGAGCGTCTTTAGCTTCACGCTGCCGTGGCTGGTGAAGAAAGTGTAGCCGGAATAATCTTCTCGGTGTGGACATTAGGGTCTAGGACGTACTCTTAAAACAATGGCAACCCTTCCACTTTCATGGCTAAATATTTACAAAACAAAACACTAATATTTGCATTTCCTCAAGTAACAACTATTAATTTTAACAGTTGTTACCAATAACGCGATGCATATTCGAAATAAGCTGTTGACTGTCACTAAACCTGTTCCATATTTAGCTGGAGCACTCTGTAAAAATCTAGACTGGCTCGACTTAGGAGTCCTCTTCCAGAAACTGGTTTTCTTGAACGCGAAGCATCATTGCCGTGCCCAGAACAGCCCGCCACCGGACTCTATCATGAGCCAGATTAATCCAATGCACTTCCTCCTTACCTCAAATTCATTTTCGCTCAACACTTTGTACTCACTGCATTTCTCATATTCCCACGCACTCAACATGTCCTGTCAATCTCATATTCCTTGATTTTATCGTCCTAATAAAATTTGTCGAAGAAAATGAGTTATGGCTCTACTGTTTATAAAGGTTTTCTCAAGCCACTTCATCCGTCTAAAGTCTAAATATTTTCCTAATCACTCTGTTCTCAAACAATCTCAGACTAATGAATTAATGTTATTGCCACTGATGTATAATTTATGTTGTGTCAAGAATGTGTTGCATGAATTTTGAGCACTCTGCACTTCGAAATAGGTTACCACCGTATCTTTATTTTTCATATTCCTGTTACGTATTCATTACCATCCTTCCATTCATAGGAATAACTATATCTACAACTGAAAATACATAATTAAGTAACAATTATTTATTTTAATCCGTCTGATCACAATATAATTTTTTTATTTAAAATTTCTTATAATTAAGATAATAAAATATCATTCATGTTCCATATCGATTGATCGATTTACATTTCGGAACATTTACACAACATGTTTCGGTTTTTATAAAACCATCATCAGGTGTAAAATATATCTAAGAACTTAAAACTCAATTATGATTTCTGTAGTTTTTTGGTGATGTTTCATTACGTTTGTTTTTCCATTTTTGGGCGAAGGTGTTGTTTTTCTTAAATGTTATTAGATGTACATATCGGCCAAAGATGTAGGAGTGAGTGTCCCGATATGTAGAGAAGTACTAGTGTCTTCGAATAGGTGTGGGTCAATACTCTATCTTATAATTAAGTAAGAAAATAATAAAGAACTTGAAATGTAGGATTTAGACGCAATAGCCAATTACTACGAAAATGTAGAGAATGAGATCACATAGGAGATTTGTTGGTATACTGCTGATGTAGAATGTTTTACAAATAGAATAATTTGCGTAACCTTCCGTAAAATATTTTTAAAGGACGGATAATAAGTTAATTTGTTGCCATTATCGAATTGAAATAGAAATACAGATTTCTGTGGCTGATATATTACGTATTTTATATAATAGTGGCCTAACAAAAGTTATAGAAGCAGTTATTAGACTATTCAAAATGTCTGGACTGTGTATCTTTTAACACTTCAAACATTCGCACCATCACCATGTCGGTGTTATTTACGGTAATTGAAATATGGTGGCTTGTAATGACACAATGTCTGCACAAAGGCTTATAAAAGTTCACTATTTGCCTCCAGAGATATTGGGAAAGGGGAACTGTATAAAAAAGCACATGATGATGCCTTATACAAATTTTTCTTATATAAGAAGTAAATTTGAATAGATCTTCACTACACATATTTAAACAATAATCTTTTAAAATAATTTTGGACCTAATTTAGTTTTTAATAGAATATAAAATTGTTTATAAGAATTATAAATAACACTGTTAATACTTTCCGTATTTGATCCTATGACTGGTATATTACTTTCAGATAATCCCAAACCAAAAATAATTTTCTATCGATTTAGGTCCGTATTCCAGACACTGAGATTTGCCTAAGAAGGAAATTCTTTGCTTCGAGTCCAGTTTATCGAATAATATGCATCATACAAAGTAGACAACGTTGCCACCTTAAATTAAGATATTTCCCTGTTTTTTCGCTTAAATAAGACTTAAACTCGAATCGACGTGTTAGCTCTTGTGAGTCAGCCATCCCTGGTTCAAACCACCGTTAACTGACTCATTCTACATACCGGGTGTGCCCGTTAGTAGGTGGCCATGGGATCAGATGAGAGGAAACGCAATATTCTTGGAATTCCATTCCACATGCATGCGGTAGTTTCATGTCATCAAAGCTGTAACGTAAACTCTGCAATTAGATCCACTAAACCTCAACACGTACCGATAATAACTAAATGTTTCGACACCAATCCTACTCAAAGGTCTAGGAAATATAAAATCAGCATCTCAGTCAGTATGTTGTCTGTACTACGGGCTGGCGACTGGGGTTCGATTACCGGCAAGGCGTAAATTTTATTTCGTTCATTTACGTGGCTCTGAATCATGGCCTCTCGAACTGAGGACAGAACTTTTTTAATAAGTTTTTATTTTATTTTAATATGGCTGTATTCTACGATTCTTTGCTTATATTTTGAAAATGATCGTTATCTGTTTTAAGATACTTTGTGTAGTGATTTAGCAAAACCACGAAAAGCTTTACAATAACTAGTATTTCAGTCGTGATCAGAACAACTGAAGTCCTATAGAAGAAGTGACTTCAAGCATTTTAGACATTTAAATCAAAGACACAATAATTTTATATTAATATCGATTTGTAACCCGAGAAATAACCCAGAAACACAAAACCCCAATTTCTTCTAACGTAGTCAAAATGATGGAAACAAATTTGAATTAATTGTTGATTATTAATTTAATTATAGTTCTGACCATGCAGAAAGTAACTACTGTAAGTTTTCAGTATTTCTGATAAACTAATGGATTTTTCTGTTGTTACAGACAATGTGACACGCCGAGAATCTGGCTCAGGACACAGCAAGCGAGTAGTGTGCTACTACACTAATTGGTCAGTGTACCGCCCCGGAACTGCGAAGTTTTCTCCGCAGAACATCAATCCTTATCTCTGCACGCATCTAATCTACGCGTTTGGCGGTCTCACGCGAGAAAACAGTCTTCGGCCCTACGACAAGTATCAGGACATCGAGCAAGGTATGTCCCTGCTAAAACCTCTTGGAACTGATCCGACTTTGACCAGAATCCTTTCAGATCCTGTGTGTGTCAAGTGGAGTTCGATGGACGATGTTGATCCTACTGCAAGATCTTTGCCTCACTTGTACGCAGTCATCAACCAAGAACCCCACAAGGGAAACCTCTCAAGAGTGGACACGGAAGAGGGCGATCACATTGGACCTGCAGTCGACCATGAGTTTAGACTGTAAAAAAAACTGGGACAGAGACTTAAGATCACAGTCGAGGCACTGGTATTTGTCGGCATTTTTCTGCTGATTGGTGAAAGCTAGAAGAAGAAGAAGAAGCAATTGAATAAAAAATTTACTTGGATATTATCCATCGTCTAGTAA